TAGGCGGCTGTATTGCGTATTCACTTATCTCTCAGCTTGGTATTGTGGCTGGGTTTCAGCAAGCGACGGCATATGTGATTGATGTCATCCAGTATTTGGTACACTACAGTAAAATCTTCGTAGCTTGACCACTGAAGGGACTGGATCAACGTTATCAACATATGGAGGTCTTACACACAACTTAGCGTACCTTACTTTCCCCTTGAGAGTAGTGCAGTATAAACTTGTTTCGAACATACTATTTGCTCGCTTACATAATAGCAAACAGTTAAACCATGCAACGTTATAATAAATCAACCCCCAGTGTGACGTCCTCAAAGTCAAACCATTTTTGGGTAGAATTCTATTATTGTTTGCTTTATCACAAACGTAACCGAACAGGTTAGCTTCGAACTGATTATCTGACTGTCAGACAAGCACTCAAACTCCTCATTGCGACCTATGCAATGAGTGGGCACACGTTCCAAAGGGTAGGTGTAATGCGTGATTGCATATGTAGGTGGGCGAGGAAAGGGTTTACACAACACGGTCAAGGTCAGTTTGTGGGGACACCGATGCGCGTGAACATATACACGCATATACACAGACAGAGAACATGCTGTATCGTCAAGTTTCTTTGGAACCGTAAAGTGCAACGATTGTGGATCAGGTGAATTTCACCTATTGCAAAATTCACTTGCACAAATATGTTATTTGAACAGACGAGTCGTTCGGGAGTCATTGCACATTAAACCTTCGCTTGCTCAAGTTATATAGATTCTTTTACTAGCCCAATTGGTCATTACACAGAGGTCTGATTCGATAGGGTTTACATAGTGAACGTTCAAGCTATGTAAAACGGTCGGACTAGAGCGATGGTAAGGACACAGAGGACGTCAAGTTCGGAGGTTTTGCTGTAATGGAACAATGGTTTATAACGGATAAAATAGCACAGGCTTAACATGTCCCGTATATTGGTAATAAAGGAAATGGTAATTAAAATAGTACGTAAGTAGGCCAATTAAAATAGTATGCATGGGCAAAGCGATAGAGTAATTGTGTTAAGATTGAAATAGTACAGGCAAAACCAAATAAAAAGACTGATGGTTAATACTCATAGCAAGTAACAAGCAGATTGCTCATCCCTCTGCGCAGATTTACGTGCGGCGCTGTGGGTCACAATTCCAAAGTAGCTAGTTAACCGGAATATACGTTCAAGTAACAGCATGGTGTTCAATCGTTTTTTTTGAAAACAGACAACTGTTTGGAGGAGCGTTCCAGTTGGCAGACCCAGAGGGAGAAGTATTTCCGTCTGTAATCGGGGCGACTGTGTTGTTGGCTCAGTTTCAGGCTATTACCTCTGAGATTGGCGTTGGGGCTATTTCAGTAGGTTGCGGCATATGTGAGTGGGGTCACTCAGTATCTGGTAGACAAATATAAGGTCTCCACATAGCCGCCTGTAGCCTCTACTTAACACTCCGATTGTCTTCAGTCATTGCTGGTACAGAAGGTTGTGCAATCCCTTGACAAATTTTGTTGCTCGACATTGGTGAGTTTCGAGCGCTGTAACGTCACGCTTTAGCCAAGGATGCCAAGCTTGGATTGCGTATTCGGCGTGGGGACGCACGCAGTCATTGAGCATCAGGGAGAACATAGACGAATCTAAACTTCCGAATTCCCTCCCCAAGAAACCAACATGCTGGTTATCTCTATTTGAAGCGGATTCTGACTGCCTGGAGTAACTGAGGTCGTCCTACACCAGACACCGAGGTCACGTTCCTGAGAGCTTGTCTGCAGATCATGTGTCCCAAGTTTGTAGAGATAGGCGTGTCTGTGGCAGATGTAGACAACGTGGAACTTGTTCACGTTGAATGGCAGTGCATTCCTCACCGACGATGCCAGGCCCCATCGAGGTCGTGTTGAAATATCTCCTTGTTGCCCATTCCCTTGATCACCCGCCAAATTTTAACGTCATGCGCGAAAAATAAAATTTTCGAAGCAATAGCTCTCGCTAGATCGTTGGTGAAAATTTACAACAAGCGATGTCCAAGTACCGAACCCCGTGGTGGTACTCCGCACTCCACTCGAATCGGGTCGGACAGAGATCTTCGGACTTTAACCTCTAATTGTCGTTCGCGGAGAGAGTTATTAACCCATCCTAATACTGGATCGTCGACACCGTAGAGCTGTAGTTTATGCAGGAGGATTCGATGATACAAGCGATCGAAGGCCTTCGAAAGGTATGTAAATAACATCGATTCATGTCCTCACGTCGACTGATTCGGTCCAATTCTCACGTGCTATCAGCGGATTAGTGGTACATGATCGATGTTGACGAAATCCGTACTGCTCTGGCACTATGATGCTGGAGCTTTCCGAGTAGCCCATCAGTACGTCTGTGCTGATCGCTTCCATGACTTTGGCGAGCACACGGAGAACCGTTGCTGGGCAGTAATTGGCAGGATCAGATCGATTTCTTCCCCTGTGAACGGGGGTTATAATACCTCGTTACCAAGTTGATAGAACTCTGTTTCGGTCTAGACACCGCTAAAAGAATCCGGCAAGTGGTTCGGCTAGGTGCATGGCTGCCACCTGCAGTGCTGTAGGGTGAGTGTTATCCACTCTTAGTGAGCTATGTGTACGCAAGGATAGTAGCTTTTTCAGCACAATTTCTGCTGTGAATGTGGTGCTGCATGACACTCATGGTGTGGTGACAGAAACAGTTATAATGTTTGAGGCTTGTGCCTTCTGGAAAGTAGGCAAGTACTGGGCCCCTAAGGCGTTGGCCGCCTCTTTTGCTGTGTGTATACCCACCAATCGTAGTGAGTAGTGGGATTCCGCGCTGCATCTTTCGAACTACATTCACGTGTCTGTAAACAAGCTTGTGGTTCGTACAGAATCGTTCCGCCAGCTCCTGTTGTTGTGATAACTTGACTTCACGAACCAGCTCGTTCCGCCAGCTCCTGTTGTTGTGATAACTTGACTTCACGAACCAGCTATACAGAATAATTGCGCTAAACTACGTACGCTGTCCAATTTTCTGCCCTGGGATTGTTTTTGTACAGGCGTCATGTCCGTTCCCTCAAGGCCATAGATTTTCGTGTTCGGCTTCTTAGGAAGGATTTTGGCTTGATGGGGTGGTGCAAAGATTTTGGCTTTAATGTTTTGGTGACTTGCGACGTGAAGGTTTTCAAGAACATTTATCAGTCATGAATGTCTAACTAGCATTTTCAACGAATGCAGATAAAACGTGATTATGCGCAATAGATTGCATCTATTCGGGCTCTGGATCAGGGAATTCGGCGTAGCAAATATAATCAAACAGTAGAGTAACGTGATTGCTTCGACCCAGAGGACTGCATACATTTAGCCAATCAACCATGAGCTCCTCGTTAGGTCTAACATTGAGGGTTTATTCGTTGCGCTGAACCTGGTGGGATCGGTGACGTGTTTGTATAGGAGTGTGCTATAGATTAGTTCATGTAAACAGGATTTGAACAGTTCCGTCCCGAATGCTAGAATTTTCAAATCATGATTGTAAGCTGAAATCACATCTAAACCGTCGATAGAGTCCGCTGAAAATTCCCACTAGCTTCGGCCTCTACTAGCTAGAAATATTGCATAGACACCTGATGTTCTTTGTTGCCGTGCTTTGTGGCGTGTCTAGCACCTCGAAGTCTCACTTTATCCAACTTTACCCAGCTTGTGGCGTATTCGACTTGAGAGCACATATAAGCGTTATGCATCATCGGGAAGATGGATGGGTCAGATCTTCTGAATACCCTCCGACGTGATGGTTGCCTTTTTTTCACAGCTGCCTCAGCCTGTTTTGGACAGTTGAGGTAATTCTGTACTAGCACACCGAGGTCGAATTCCTGCGAAATAGTTTGCAATATATGTGACCCAAGCCAGTACACATAATCTTGCCTGTGGCGTAGTTGAACAACGCGACATTTTTCTACTTTGGATGGTAGACTTCTTAACTGACCAGTTCGAAATCGTGTTTACATTGTATTGCAGCTCTTCGTGATCGTCTGGTCCCCTGATCGCTCGCTTTATCTAGAATAACTAAGAGAATTCACGTTGTTCGTGTAGCGGTACTGCATTTTCTTATGTTCCGGCTGTTCTCTGCCTGATATTTCCATTGGGTTGCGCCCCGAGTTTCACCGATTTAAACCATCGTCTTCCAGAAATGCGAATATCTTACACATGTTACGAAATATCTCGTTACTTTTACGCTCTGGATTTTGTACCCAGTTATTACGGATCGAATACACTGTTCATCTGTCGGTTCGTGTTGTTTAAAACGTGGCTTGTAACCGTGAAACATTACCTAATCTTATGTGCTCCATCTCCAAAGACGTAGTGAATCGACACTTTTCTGCAAGATGTGGCTTAGTATTCTGCTGTTCTGCTGACAGCATCCTATCTGCTCTGCATCATTTGGTAAACTAATTGTGCCTTATATTCGGATTCTCTCGCGAATACCTTAATTTTGGTTGTGCTGATGCGATACGGTTCCATCTGACAGCGGTTTTTCCCATTCCATATCGTGCCAACAGCTGTGGTAATTCTATTAGCGCACTTCAGTATTATCGTACTCAGGCTGCAGGATCTGTCTATTCCGTACATCATTATATCGAGAGCAAACTTGTTACCTACCCGTTCTACTAGCTCGTTTATCATTCTTCTTCGTATACTTCTGTGCTGAACGTCTCGTTGGCGTGAGTGACAGAATCATAGCATCCATATCGCCGCACGTCTCGTTGTAGACTGCTGTGAACGATAGTGCACTCACTGTTTCGATTCCTTTGAACCGTCCTCGCCGTTTGTTTGTCGCTTTAACTTTGAATTCCCCAACCCTCATGATTTTGACAATTCTCTGGCCGTTCATAATTTCTAAGGTGTTCTCTTTAGAAGCGTTTGAACGAATGGTCTATTCTGACTTTTTATATGCTGTTGGAACTTTTTGTTCCGCGCCCATTGACTTTTCCCGACTTTGCCTGCACATTACATTCAAGGTGTACACACGCTGTTGATGGCATTTGCGTCTGTTCATCGCCCGGATCTGCCTCGCCCAGTGTCATATTTTCTTTGTAAGTTCACTCCCAGCCTTGCTCAATCTGGGTACCTCCCCATCCCATTCTTTGCAGCACGCTTTGGCTAACCGCGCCAATACCTTGGTTTTTCATTCAGCTTTTACACTTAACCAAACGCCACTCGTTTTTGCGTCACTATCGCTTCCTGCTTCGCCGCATTTTTGTGTTGCTCGCAACTTTCTTTTTCGCCAACCCTGCAACCCGCCTTATGTTTCTGCGACTCCACCGACTCATTCCTAAATGCTCACATATCCTCATACTACCATCGTGCCGTGGTTTTATAGGTCGTGATGCTTTGATCTTTTCCAGCCAACAGTTCATCTACTTTGTCCTTTCTTTGTCATGCGATTTGCTACCGAAGCGATACGACCAGGAGTGAAAATCGACGTTTTGAGATTTTACCATCACACCACTCTGAACCCCGTAGTGTCGTTCCTTTCGTTCACGTAGCGCAAACAAATAGGGAAAACAATGATAAAAATTAATTTCTCTTTCACCAAAGTATGGTATCCCTGTGGATTCCAGACAGTAATTTTTGGTTATACGTTGGAAACTCGACTCCTGAGAATATATACGCTGCTAGCATTGTAAAAGTGTTTACAAGTCACAGATGAACGCTTTTATGGCACGATGTTAGATGTATAAAATGTGTCTTGTTTAAGATTGTATGGGGCGACTTTTCACCAAACTGAGTTCAACTGCTTATATTAGTGGTGATTTTTCCCTTATTGTTAAGGGGCGGCAGAGGTACAATGCGAATCTCCTAGTGATGATTAAACACTAGCCCCCGATTTTGCAGCTGCATATTGGACGTGGCTGAGGTACTGTCAAATGCTTACGAACCCCCCCCCCCATTTGCACTTGAGATCCTTGATCGTGCAATTGGTGCACTATTACTAGACTATGCCAACCTGATCACGTTTACCTGCCGCTGTAACATCTATATCTACCAAATTTCTCTTACCCTAAACCGCTCATTTCCGATTGAAGACGCATGCGCAGCTGGGCCATATGCGTTATCATGCAAAATCGGCTGTTAGCAGTGAACAGCAATCAACCTCTGAGTTCACTTTTGTGGTATAGAAGTACACTGACCTACCCGCGCTGCGAAGCCGATTGGACGTGGCCTTAAGGGATCACAATCCTGCCTCGTAATCCGAGGACACGGGTACGAGTCTGCGTAGAGACCGGGCGACCCTCACAGTATCCTTAGCCCGAGTGCGACTGGTGGTGGCTGCGCGGCAACGAAGCGTCAGTACTGCGTACTGCTGTTACCTCTCCTTTACTTGAAGAAGAGTATGCACCTATAAATGACTGCCTTGCGCAGCGTTGGTTACCGATGACACGATCTCCTGTCGCGTATTCTGTCACGAACCCAATGGCAAATGGCCTCCATGGACAGCAGTTTTGCTTATAATGGCCATTTCCGTCGTCTGAAATCGCGTTTCCGTAATGCCTACATTCGATAATGAACGGCTCTTAATAGGCAATTTATTTGGCATATTTCCTGGCTTTACTTGCTAGCACTGATTTTGGCACTGTCCAGTGCCAGAAAAAATTCACACTGCTGTTTGTATGCATAAACCTGTTGGTCACACCTGTGCGAGCTTACCATCGGTTCCTGATGGAATTGCTTACTAAATCTACATTGTGTTCACTTATGCCCTCACCTACCACTGTCGCCTGCCATATCCTCCAGGTTCATATCTCTCCGACCTTTTCTGTTTTACTGGGAAGCAGAATACTTTCCCTACTCATGTTACATGTGCTGTGAATCTCGCTGATAGCATGTCAAAATTTTCTATCACACCAAATGAGGCAATTCAGTAATGCTTCTTGGATCTTGGGAGGTTGATGACTCTACACTGCCTTTGCGGGGGGATTACTCTACTCGTCGACAGGCGTCAAGTTCACCTACACCAGAGAAGCTCATTAGATTAGTTAGGCCATTTCTGATTCTTAAGGCCTAGCCACGTCGTTTCGTATGTACGTTTGGTGTATGTCCAAATTTCTTTGTTATACTTTCAGCCTCCTTTATTATGTTTCCATACCTTTCTCGGCTGCTCAGCATCGTTCTCTTTGGGACTCTGCTATCTCGTCTGCATTGAGGTAAACTGGTGCTTTTGACACACATCAGTCTTTGCGGCAAATACGCTCTGATCAACAAGCAACGCCCTGCCCTCTCTATCCCTCACAGACTCGAGCCAGTAGCGTCGCAAAAGATATTCAACTGCCTGCTTTTGACTAGGTTACCCGATCACAGTGAATAACTACCCATGTGCGATCTGATTTTATCCTCCCATCAGCTAGGATGAAGCCACTGAAGATACTGTACATTTTTGTTCTTTCAACATGTAAACTCACATTTTACGACTAGGAAAACTGTTGAAAACTTTCTGAGCTGGAAACTCTCGTCTCTCATCCTAACGACTGCGAATACGGACAGTGAGCTCTTTTCGGGTTCTGCCTATTTTCGGATTCCGAGCAACATCTCAGAGATCGGTTCGGGGCTGTTGTCTGCCTGTCTGGTGCGGTCGTGTTCTGTACGTCAATAGCGCTGTTCTTCAACGTAGACCTCTGACCTGCCTCATCTGACACCTACGGAACCCACCATACCTTTGCTATGTACAGATGGCGCACTCCTACACATTTGGCTTGTGCCGCAACGCATACCTGCCGGAATCACCCACACTTACTGTCCAAGCGAATTAATTAACATCACTGTTAGTCACACGTCACTTGGATTTTCAGTCGAAAAGAGCAGCATCATCAAACCGGGCTGCAACGTCAGCCATCGTTGCTGAACGAGATTGGTGAATTGAATGCTGATTAAAACCGTGTCCATTGTTACTTAAGGCAATCCGAGTAAACCGCTTGTTTGCCTACCATGTAATGTACCAATAGCATATGCATTTTTGAAGCTGTGATTAGTTTGATTAAATCGCGGATTACGGTTTCTTCTGAAAGTCAGCTTTAGAGTTATTGCAACCCTTTGAAACGTCGTATGAACACAAGTCTCGAGTAAATAAGGCCAGCGCCACTATGAGTCCGAGAAATGACCGAATGCGTAGGTGGATGGCAAAGGCCCGTGAGATGGGAAGGGCCGGAGCGTGAATAGACTAATCGAAAAGCATGTTATCCCGAATTTCGGGTCTCTAGATTAGCCACATCAACAGTAGTGGTGCGGTCGCTAAACCGATGATGCTTTTACGGTCGTTTCATTCTTCCAAACCTCATAGTCTGATATATACACCGTCTCCATAAATGATTGAAACTTCTAAATACTATATAGAATTTACTGATACGTGCTGCTATCTTCTTAGTTATGTGGCTGTTAGAGGTGATACAGCTGCCAAAGTAAATGAGCCGGTCAACCACTTCCAGTGGGTGGTTGTTACTTTGCAGCTAGAGCCGCCGGACTGTTGGCATAGTCCAATAACAACACCTCGCACTTTGAAAGTGTGAAAGTATTAGCGAAGCATGCGGCTCTTTGCATCAATGTATTTGGAAGGAATTACACAGGGGTCGAATCCAACCTCAGGCATACTGTGCACTCTAGGTACTTTGTGTTTACTCATCGATCAACAGAAAGAACCCCCACTGCCCATGCTCGAAGCGGAACTTAACTAAAAAAATAAAATATTTATTCTCAACTACGCGAGGCACTTCTGCACAGGTATGATCATGGATATCCGATTAATCTTGTTGCACCGTATTCGCGGTGGTGCCGGAAAAACCGCCACTACGGCGTGCCTCTTCCATGCGTGCCCCCGTTCTAGCACTTGGTGAAGTGTGAACACGCGTTCGCTTGATCCACGACTATGGCAGAAGCCAGCCTGGTTTCTACGAGGACCAGGCGGCTACCGTTTATATTCTTTCACTTATTTTCCTACTTTATTCACTGACGGTGTTGTAAATCGAGCCAACTTTGTCTAAAATCCTAGTAATAATGAATCATATTTAGCCAACTGAAATTGTCGTCGCTGAGTTATCTCCATTCTCTCATTTCCTTCACTTTGGAATTTAAGTGTGATGTACGCGTGAGTACTGCGATATAGTCGATTTGCTCGACCTTTTTTCCACCGAAGTGGATAATCCCACTACTGTCCAACCAAACATTCTGTTTGTGTGCCTTAGAAGGGGTGGGACAGGCAGCCCTGCGATTGGTGTGTGGAGCCAGCTCGGGAAATTCTGCTGCGGGGGATAACTTACTTGCCACATATCTACACGTCCATAGCATCGCGGATGTATGCAGAATGCACGAACCATGGGAATTTCTTCGGGTCATGTCCGTTTTCAGACTAACCTTGCGCTCTGCACACCTCCAAGTTTATTGCAGAACCGGAGTAACATCTCGCCTGTCCTCTTCCTCACTAAGCAACAAGGCGCTGCCGGTCAATTCACTCATCAATATTGTTTTGTCACCCCTTATGTGTTTCAAAAGAATATTAGTTCCTGGATCTCCTAAGGCGTGACATTGGCTCTTCGATCAATAGTTCGCTAGAATATACTTCACTGGGTCCATTCATACCGTATTCATCAAGGAGACGCGACTACTCTCGGTGTAATACAGTGGTAAACCACTTGAAATCGACAAGTAATTAATGGACGCCCCACTAGGGCTAAGTGGTCATCTCGCCATAATTTATAACTATGTATTGCGCTGAATATCCATAGAAACACACACAACAAAAAGCTCCCACATAAACATGTTAACACCATTTAAAAAGTAATGTATCGCATCCCCCCACTTAATACAACAGTTGAGTGGCACAGAGCACTGAAGACGCAGCCAATGCTCTATGGATGCAGCACTCTCTGACATTCCAACGACACATCCGCCATTGTCATTTACCCAATTTCATCCCCAATTTCAGCACTTATTAACATCTCGTTTACTGGCACATCTGTCTTGAAGAAACTGCTCTCAATGTGCGCCTACAGTCCTCCTGGAATCGATGATATTCACCCGAGAGCGAGACAGTAATAATCCTAGCCGAGCAATTATTGCACTTCTTCTAAACGTCTTTGGAAAAACAAATGGTGCATACCATGTAGAAACATGGTCCAATCACGCCAATTTTCGAAAGTGGCCGTTGCTCGGAACCCACAAATTATCCCATAGTGGTTCTGCTTCCTGTACTCTCAGAGATGATGGACGCAATCACCGCTGAGGCTGTGGACCATCCAGAACGCTACATCAAAGCACCTTAGCAGCACAGTTTTCGTCAAAATCACTCACGTGCAACTAACCTATTGATTGCACGCAGCAGGTAGACGGAAGCGGCCGAAAAGATAGAGGGACTGACGTCTTTTACCACAACTTCCAAAAAATCTTCAACCATCTGGACCACCGCATTCTGTTTCACAGACTTATAAGCTATGGAGTTGAAGATCCTATCCTTGGATGGATCAGGAATTTTCTGCATAATCGGCAAATGCAGGTTAGAGTTCGAAGTGCGCTGTCCGATCCGATTCATGTCGAATATGGAGTTCCACAAGGATCAGACCTGGGGCCATGTCTCTTTCTCGTGATCATCAATGAGCTTAAGCGTTTAATTAATTCGGATTTCTTGCTTTTCGCTGATGATGTTAAGGTGTGGCAAACAGTGACCAACCAAGAATATCCAGATGCACTTCAACGAGAACTGGACTGGCCGTATCCATGGTCACTCCGCAGTCTGCTCCAGTTAGGTGGTCCACATTCGTCACCAGCCGAACACCAAATACAAGCTTGGAGACCATGTGCTGCAAGCAGTCACCCAGGAGCGCGACCTTGGGGTATTAATCCAGGCTGATCTGGGCTGCTCAGAACAATCTGAGAAGACATCAAAGAATGGAAACCAACACATAGGAATATTGCGGAGGACTTTCGGGCAGTTTGATCCGTCTGTCTGTTCTCAGTTACTTAACACATACGTGCGGCCTCAGGTAGAATACACAGTCCAGTCCTGACAACCCTGGCACAAGCAAAATCTCGCAGCACTCGAGATTCCACAGCGAAGAGTCACCAAGCACGTCAAAGGGTTGTTCCATCTTCCTTATCAACTTAGGCTGAGGACCTTAGGATTGTACAATAATCATTATCGGCGCCTACATGGCGATCTAATAATGGCCTACCAGGTTTTGATGAACCCAAACCACGTTTCCCGCCACCTACTGCAACCCAGTCACAACACGAATTTGTGGGGCCACTAGTTCAGGTTGGCAACGCCATACAGTCGGCTAGAATGTCGACGAAAGTTCTTGCGTTCTTCGTGTCTGCCAACCATGGAACATCCTCCTAAATTATGTTGTTTCCGCTCCCACTTGTGTTTAGAAAACGCCTTGACGTCGCCCTGATCCACCTACCTGGGTACACATCGACAGAGGATATAACGTGAAAAACATTACACAGCCTGCATTAACCTACACAATTGTGGTTGGCTCTTTTCTGCATGCCTCTGTATGAACCTATGGTTAGTCCGGCAAAGCGCTTTTCATGTTATCACTGTTTTCACCATTTTGCGGTTCTCATCCGCTTTTTTGCCCCTAATATACCATTCTTCACATTACCCTGGATCCCATTTTTATGAAAGCACTAAATCAGTACTGCCCGGCGGTGAGTATTAATCATCAACTTCTGAAACATCTCGCATTTCCCAAGCTGCTGACCACCTGCTCGTGTCGCTCACTCGGGGACTTGAACCATTAGACACTCCTTGCGGTACTTATTCTAATAGCAACGCATATCTCAATCGTAATTTTTCCTCAATTTCAAACTATCAAGTAGCAACAGTGACTGAATACGCTCTGAGTGCACTTCGTTCAGTACCTTCTCCTTCAGGTGCTTATACACCTTCAGTGAGACATTCGTATACATATTCGCAGCTGCATGGCCAAATTGAATCGATATTGACACCGTTGTTGCGCATTTTTGTATCTGTGCTACTTTGGTTCGTTGTGGCCGTACATCTACATTCTCTTTGGAGGAAGCAGCAATGGTAGTGCCTTGTATTGTCCCGCTACCACACATGCGTGTTTGTGTTTGGTAAACGACCAAAAGTGAAGAGTCGCCAGATGTGCGATTAGCGCTCACTAAGCAAATACTCAAGTGTCTGTGGTTTGCCACTTAAAGAAAAGGGAGCTTTGGCACATCCGCTTTCTCGCGGGTTTTACGACCTCTGTCGTTGTCAGCTTCACTCCCACAGATAACCTCACTCAGGCAGGGGATGACTGCCGATACACAACCGATGCTGGTTATGCACCGATCTCTAATAGTGTGGGTCATTCATACGCTGGGTCCAATGAGCGTCTAGAAGGCGGACTAGCCGGGCCGACAACTTCGTGTTCTGAAGCTGGCAAATGACTTCCCCCATTAAACTCTACAACATCCCGAATCTGTTACGTAGGACCGTTTCCAACGCAGCACAGAACCTCAGTTTGCTTTTACAACCGACTAGCCCTTTAATCGATTGCCGCCCACCATTTTCGTCATATTTTGTTTTAACTAACGGCTCAACTCATTTTGAGCACATCTTTCGGTTCGGATGTTAATTGAATCCACATCCGCTCAATCACTTCAAAACGTTTTCTCATACCACGGATGCTTCTCAAATACCTATCTGGAATTTTCTGATCCGCCTGCAACCACATGTCAAACATTTGAACATGTAGCACGATGAATGTACTTCATTCGGAAGAATTGTATCAACTAAATGGTTACCTTTTTGAGATCATTAAAGGTACAATAAGGAAACACATTTTAGCTGGCGGGATATTTTGAATCTAGTTTATTTCGCGTATTCCCATTGCGTCGCATACCTACTAATAGTGAGAACTTTAAACGAATGGAATCAATACCGACTGTCGATAATCGACTGTGGCAGTGTTTCTAAAGGAACAATCACATCTTACCATTGCAGAGCAAGACTGGCCACAAGTGCCAGATGCTTTCATCGGTTGGGCTTTAGGCACCGGATGATGACGGCCTCAGCGAACCGGAACAGGTTCGGATTATTTTGCTTTCTAAGAATCTTGAAAGCTTTACTGGGGGTTCTGACATATTGCACAGTCGAGCAGGTGCCTAGCAATTTAGCTAGCAGGTAGTTTCGCACCAGTTGAAGCCATATTTCTCGAGATGTGCTCCGAAATCCGGTTTGACAGCACTCTCTCAGTTCTGTCGATGTACATGCTACCACATATACAGTTAAACTGGTGGACGCAGGAAGCAATAACTTGAGAGTGAGGCCTGTCTAAGTTGGATTTGTGCAACAACTTTCTGGTTTGGTGCTACAGCATGACCTCAGCTACAGGGTAGCACCTCTTTTTGATCAGCTCATGGTTTGTATCTGCGCCTGAACGATCATGCTGACACCTGTGTGCCTAGCGTCATCGAGAATAAACGTTTGTTTATAAACTTAATAATCTTTTCCACACACCAGTTCGTTCCAGCCTGATTTTCTCCTTCAACGACAAAATTTTACTGTTTCAGCTTTTGGTGATTATTATTTTTAGCCGTTCTGATTTATCACGGTCTTCTGCCATCGATTCTTTCTCATCCTGTGTCAGCCACTCCCAGCACTGCACTCTAATATTGGGAGTGACCAGCACCACAAGCTCTCCACTTGGGATGGGGTCCCAGTGATTGGAATTCCCAGTAAGCTGATATCCAATTCCATGTTACCTGTCATAATCCAACTACACTGTTGGTACTCTCCGATCCCAAATGAAGGTATTAATCTCCATTTTCTAATTACATCCGTTTTTACCCAAACCTGCCCTATTCATTATGTTTTCTCATTCTTTTATCCGTTTGCATGACACCACTTTGGGATAAACGTATTGATTTTCATCAAGGCCACTCTCTTTTGCATGCGCATTTTTCTCACGTGACCATCCACACCATCCCTTCGCCGCACACGCGGCAGTTTCCCGCAGATGCCCATCCCTCCCCTCTAGGTCATTTTGCATCGAGTGGCAGTGTCCATTTAAAGTGCGTCACCGCGAATAATGTGAGGCAGTTAAGGTACTAACCAAATAGTTACACGGGGCGGTGCTATCAATGATTCCTAGTGAAGGTGGTCGAGAATTGTACCGCGTGGGGCAACATGCTCAATCATCAGTTGCCGTAACTAACATCGTAGAATGTGGAGTTTCCGGACCCCATAACATGCATCCACAGTGGATAATGGTGATTATACTCGCACTCTAATTTCTTTGGTTATCATCACAATGTAATCTTTGTTGCAACCTTTGTGAGGCTCATTTGAACATGCTGGTGCTCGCATAGGGACATATAAGACGTCCATCGTAACCATGTGACAATAGGTTCAACTCTTGAGGGGAATCCTCCATTTTCACGATTCTCCATAGATCTCCTAACCCTGTGCAACCGCGTTTTTGCATGCATATATACTCCCTAAAATCCACTCAAGACTAAGAGTTATATGGACCGAATAACCGTGTACACCTTTGTTGGTATCTGATAGCTATTTGGTTAGGCCCGCTTCACAAATCTATCCTAGAGTGTGTTGTTCGGTCGCAAACCCTTACCACTCTAATTGCTTCTCAGAATTTATTATCACTTTACCTATCCATGTTATTTCGATTCTAGGTAAGCCTCAGGGAGTTACACATGAATTCCTGCGCTCCTCCTGAAGTCCCTCCTCACCGCCCTCGTTCCTTTTACACTCCGACTACCTCACCATCGCTGCTCCCCAAAGACGGGAAGCCACCAACCGGGTTGTCCCCTTCTGCAAGACGTCGCCGGATGTTCTCTGTCGGTCTGCCACCACCGTATGCACCAATGCGTCTCGCCCCTCACCAGTGTAGGCCTCTTCCTGGCCAACCGAATTGACCTAACTCAACCATCCGCTTGGAGTATTTTTGGTACTTCGCTTACAATTTTACTCCCGTTTCCACGTCTTCCGTCGAAACCGTTTGTACATTATCTCGGTTATCCGTGTTGACCAGTGTACTCATCACGAAACCCATTCCTGTCCGTCTTTTCATTCAGCATTCGTCCAGTTCTGCCCTCCAACGCCAATTTCGTTGTCTGTTTGTAGAATTGCTCATCGCTAGCTCTCAGGACCGCCAAGCATTGACTGTCATTCACTGCCGCTCTCCTGTCCACCTCTTTGGGTCTACAGTCGCGGAGGTCATTTCCTTCTCTCTTACACACTGCTCCACTCCTCCACTGGCGGTTCACAACCGTTCGTCTTTCTGTGCTCATTCTCTCGATGGAGAACATGTTTATCACCCATCGCTTTATAATATGAGAAGAGCTTCCATTGTGCTGTGTTAACTCTATCCTCCTATTTTCGCTATATCCCTGTATTTTCTTCACGTGTACTCATTTCATTCACCATCCTATTGCACATCACTATGATGAACTTCGGTGCGAGAGGATGGAAAATATTCGCCTCCGCTCGAGACCCCTGTGTTTGCCAGCAGCTCTTGTTCCATTCTTTGCGCTAATCATTTGTGGTCGCATAACTGGCTGTGTCGGGTGTATGGCCGATATTTTCGTGTCATAGATTACGGATATATACTTTGCTAGTTAGCGTTATCTACAAGAATTTGACATTAATCCCACCAACACAGTCATCTCAGCTGCTGCCACCGGCTTTCTGACCGCATGATCATTCCTGATAAATTGGCTACTGTCTCATTGTCTAAACAAAGGTATCATATCCTCGTACTAGCAGATGTAAGCATCATCGATTTAACGAGTTCCTTGCCATTAGGACGAAGACAATAGATATTACTATTTCTCTATTTGTGATAGCAGGGACGGTAAGCACTTCACCACACGATCGCACGTGGTGCAATTGGTCATCTACACAACTAGGTTGGCGGAACGGCAGCCCAGGCTCTAATGAGATGTGGCCGGCTGTCGATAATATGTATGGTGTGGACTGTTCATTCGAACGAACACACGTGCACCTACTGGTAACTCGTCTTCACAAGTAAGTAATCTGCGGGTGAACATCCGTTCTGTACATTTGAGTAACTTTTCTGCTGACACCGAGACTAATAATTCTCGGTAACCCATTGAATATTTTCAGTATATGAATTAAATATTGTTTTTCAGTGAGGGCTTTATGCAAGCTCGGTGTTTATTCTATTGATTGCGACGAGCACAGTGGGGTCCAATGGCACACGGCAACAGTCGATGACCAGTCTAACTTCACTAACGCAGAGCAGTGAGAGGGTGAGATGAACTGTTTTGCGGATGGCGGCGATGTGATAAGGCATTCGACGGTACAGTTGGCTATGTCTATATTCTACTTGGGATAGCGTATCGTACCGCATCGAAAAGGGACCTGTCAATACTGGTGTTTCTCATGACTGCGCTTCTCTTGATTGCACCAATCTTATGAGTGTTGAAGCGTTCAGCTGCTGGAAGACTAATGTGCACAGCTTCAGACCGCCGGCACAGCAATGTAACCGAACCCTTAGATATTGTTTAGAGTATGTTCATCGTGCCCTTTTCCACCCTTTACGGATTTCTGCAGCTTGTATATCGAATAAATTGGACGCGATCTTATGTCTGAGCTGTAGGTATTGTTTTTCCGGGTTTTTTACGACCATATATATATATATATATATATATATATATATATATGGCGGCAGAGCCTATGGTGCGCTGAGGCTGGAAGTGGCTAGATCCTGAGAGATTGTCTACCCACTGCTGCTGTTACTATTGTACCATGGGCTCATGTCCTGGACTCCTCGTGGCGACCGCTGGGTGGGAGTTAGGTTTCGCCCTTCTCCCTCATAAGATCCAGGACACCAATCCGCATGAGTTAGTGAGCTAACCACGTGCTAGACCCGCTGCCTTTCGGGTGTACATTTCATCGAATGCTTTAGCTGAGGACCCGAGTCGTTCTCCTTTCAGGTGTGGGCGCCCTGCCGGTATCCTAGTCCATCCTCTTCGGAGGTTAGGATGTGGTCGATGGCCATCTTCCCGTAAAACCTAGCCATGAGAAACAACAGGTCTAGGGGTTATAAGCTCACAGCTCGATTGGTGTGGAGCACGAGCGCCACGCATTGTCTCTGACAGTGGAAGGGCACCCCCGGGTGCTCAATGGTTTGCTACTGCCAGCCTCAAGCCAGGCAGCCCCTGGTCAAATTGGTGGAAACACACATGCGTCTGGCCGTGGTCGCAGGTGTACCCTACTACGGTCGCAAAACATATATGAATTGTTCCAGATCTACAAAGGCTGCGTGTGACGGATCTCAAGCAGATTCTCAATCTGTCTCTGCAATCACATTCCCGAGCTGGATCTGTCCCACTGCCTTGTGGATCAGCTTATTGAGCCAAAGGCTCCGGCCGGAGTCCCTCAAGCAAACCTCTAAATCCCCCAGTGCCCCATTGGTCAGCCTATTGAGCCAAAGGCTCCAGATGGAGTCCCCCTAGCAAACTTCCGAAGCACAAGGACCACCTCGCGTGCGATTGCCCACCAATGCAATCGTATGCCTGCGCGCAAAACGCTCAGCATCGGGTGCTAGAACGTGCGCACACTACTAGACCGGAACTCCAGTGATCGCCCCGAGCGACGCACTGCACTGGTCCCGATGGAACTGACACACTACAACATCGATAGTGCGGCGCTCAGTGAGACTCGGCTCGCTGAGCAAGAAAGTTGTATGTAGCAGGTGCTCGCTACACATTCTACTGGGTGGGCAACGGCGCCTCAGCACCACGTGACCATGGGGTCGGATTTGCAATACCCGATTGCGTAAATGGCTAGCTGGTGGGTGACTGATGACTGTTCGCCTAAGATTTGGAAGAGGTAAGTTTGCCACTTTTGTAAGCACGTACGGTCCGACCCTGTGTTATCCTGATGACACGCGTGATCAACTCTACACTCAGCTATCCTCCGTGATACGGTCTGTGCCGAGGAGTGACCGACTATTTCTGCTGGGCGATTTCAACGCGCGCGTTGGGCGTGATGCATTGGTGTGGATAGATGTTATCGGTGCGCATGGCATTGGTTCAGCGAATGCGAACGGTGACAGGCTGCTCTCATTGTGTGCCACTCACGGCCTGACGATCACGAACACTCGGTTTGCACTGAGTGCGAGTGATATGGCAACTTGGACGCACCCACGGAGTAGGCACGCTGACCTGCTCGACTATATCATCGCACATCAGCGTGAAGTGCACGTAACTCGTGTACTGCATGAAACTGGATGTTGCACTGATCACAAATTGGTGCGGACCAAACTGTACATATATTTTCGTAAATCTATGTATTGCACTCCCGCCGTGAATCGGCGTAAATTTAACATTCTCTCCCTCGGTACTGTGGCGCAACGTACTGAGCTGGAGAAGGCGATGGCTGCACGCCTGTGTGATATAGAATGCACAACCACATTGGGCGACCTGTGGCACCACATTCGCAACCAGGTGACAGCTGCTACCGAGGAGACCATCGGGTGCGCAAACTGTAAGCGGCCTGATTGGTTTGATGCAAACAATGCGACGATTGGCGCTTTTGATGTCGGAGAAGAATGCAGCATTTGCTGCACATGTCATAGACCCCAGTGACTTGGGGAAGATTAGTCATTTTCGAAAACTTCGACGGCAACTGTTCCTGGAGCTCCGTCGCATTAAAATGCTTGGTGGACGGCGAAGGCGAAGCAGATGGAATGCTAAGCCGAACGCCGTCAACACAAGAAATTTTTTGGTTACTTGAAAACGGTGTATGTCTCGAGACTGGAACCGCTGAGGACGCCAATCGATGGTAGTTCAGACGCTACCTGCACACAGACTGCAGACATAATGCAGATCTGGCGGAAACACTTCGGCTGTTTCTTGAACAATCGTTCAGAGATTGAATGGCCTCAAGCAGCACGATGTGAAGGCGAGTCTGGCGGACATGCCGACACTGGATGAGAAACAGAGAGCACTTGTTCGGCTGCTAAACGCCCAGTGTGCCGCTGCCGACGGGATCTCGCCTGAAGTATTGAAACACGGTGGACCCGCGTTGGTGACTGCGCTGCACCACTTGATGCAACGCGGATGGATTGAGGAGGAGATGCCTCCTGAGCTGAAGGATGCACTTTTGCTACCGCTGTACAAGGGCAAAGCAAGCAAGCAATGTTGTACGAATTATCGTGGTATCAACTTGCTGAGTTGTGTGGGCAAGGTTATTGCCCGAATCTTGCTCAACCGCCTCGTCAGTCAGTTTGTGGAACCGAACGTGGCAGAAGAGCAGTGTGCATACCGTTCGGGCCGCAGCACTATAGATATGGTGTTTGCGGCTCGTCAGTTGCAGAAGAAGTGTAGAGAACGACACCAGCCATTGTACTCGTTTCTTGTTGATTTCACCAAAGCTCTTGTTACGGTGAACCGCGAGGCATTGTGGCTGCTGTTGGGTTAGTCTGGTTGCCCGCGTAAGTTTAAGTTTAATTGAATGTCTGCACGGTGGTATGCGAGCGAGGGTGCAGCTGAGTGGAGAGTCCTCGGATGACTTTGCAGTTGTCTATGGTGTGAAGCAAGGCTGTCTTAGCTCCTGCCCTGTTTGATATATATCTTCATGCAATGATGTCTTGTGCTTTGTATGCGGCGTGTGCTTACGGTGTTCGTGTGGAGCGCCGTATTGTAGGTGGGTTGCTGAACATCTGTCGTTCCGGTGCGAGAACCCTAGTCTTTGAGACAACTATCCGTATGTTACTGTTTGCTGACGACTGTGCGACGTTTACACAGCGCGGATGAGTAGCAGCATATTACTAGTGCTCTGGCTTCGACAGCGGCCAAATTCGGGCTCACCATAAACACAAGCAAAACTATCTGTCTGTTTCAGCCTTCATCGGAGGTGCAATCTTCAATATTGCCGCGAATCAGCCTTGGTGCTGAAGTATTGGAAACCACCTCCCCCTTCTGCTACCTTGGGAGTGTGATGTCGACTGACTAGTAGATACGCTGTGAGCTGCGTCTCGAAGACAGCGGCGGCATTCGGGGAACTAGATTCACGAGTGGAACAACCATCAGCTTAGCATTGGCACGAAGCTGATGGTGTACAAATTCATGGTGTTGTCCGTTCTTCTATACGGCAGTGAAACGTGGACGACGTACAGGCGGGATGTGCGATATCTCGAGCGGTTCCAACAACAGTGTTTACGACCGATTCTGCCTGTCGATGGGTGGGAGAGTTGCAGACATGGAAGCGCTTCGCCGAAATGGAATGTATGCAGTGGTCTACATACATTTGCTGAGACATCTCAGGTGGCGTATGGATTCAATTCGGATACCGAATTCGCTATTATATGGTCAGCTGAGTCTTGGGAGGCGGCATGTGGGGAAACCGAAAATTCGTTACCAGGACAGGATCAAAGTGAACCTCTCACGTTCTAATCTTGATTGTGAGTTATGGGAATCGAAAGCGGTTGGTCGGCGTGCATGGCTCCAGGAGACATTTGGTCGTTGCTGGAGGGGACGAGGTGCGCGGTCTCTGTGGCCGCGCTAGGCCCAAAAGGTGATTCCATCCAATGTGGAGCGGACTACGGTCCAGCCACCGCCTTGTGTACGTTTGATTCCCCAAATACAGCGTGCTTGTGTTTGCCTGTGAAGGAGTGTGGGTTGGCTCCGTCGATGAAACGCGGCTCCCATCCACATGCCTCCCGGTCTTATTTCTTCGGGTTTACAGTGGACAGGGGGTGCGCGTGGTGCAGCGCAAGCC